ACCCCCAAGTACAATTTTGGATCAGTCTAACAGCCGGCAAGCCACAGTCATGGCCAAGACTAGAGAACACTTATACCAAGCAGGTGGCCATTTGCTCCATTTGGCCAGCTCCTGCTTTGGACTCTGAGTGGTATCTCATATGCTGATTACATCCTGGTCTAACCATGCAGAGTGAAAGGAGAAAAGGATACCAAGGGCATTTAACTCCACCCCCACACTCATACTCTTCCCAATCCCAGGGTGGTAAAGTACAGGGACTCCAGAGTTGGGTAGAAATGGGTGTGACCTCAGATAAGTTGCTTAACCTTTGCAGGCTCCAGTGTCCTATCTGTGGAAGGGAGATGATAACAGTATTATAATTATCTTATGGGTAATTCTGGGTTTAGGCGGGGTACTATTGAGCACTTTGGGCAAGTCTGGTACTAGCAAATCCCTCATAATTGTTATCAGCAAGGGATAGCAACATTCATGTATTCAGTGTTCATGAATTAGATTCTCTTCTCTCTGTATAAGCTTTTCAATGGCATTTCATTCCCTCTCTGATTCAATTACAACACCAGTATCAACTCCTAAAACTGTATCTTTAGTCCAACTTCTTTCCTGAGTTCAAGACTAGGTTTCACACATCTGGAGATGTCTTGGACTCTAAAGCAAATCTAAAACTAGATTATTACCTGCACTGAACAGTATCTGACCCTCCTCTTGGCCTCTCTGCATCTGTGAAAGATTCCGTCACTTTTCCAGCTACCCAGGCAGAAGGGCTGAGTTTTTTTAAAACTATTTTTTTATCCTCCATTCAATCAGTTGCCAAGTCCTTCATTTATGCATTCACTTATTCCATAAGAATTTACTGAGCCTTTTCCATAAGCCAGGTACTGTGCTAAACTCTGGGTATGCTAGGTGGATAATATATGGGGCATACTGGGTAGTCTTCTGGTGAACAAAACATATATGGGTTTCTGCCCTCATCTGCAAATAAGTAATTGCAAATGGGGATATACACTTGAAAGGACATTTCAGTCAGTATGAGAAAATACAACAGGGGATGTCAGTTAAAATGAGAGTCAGGAAAGAACTTTCAGAGAAAGTGACAACTTGAACTGAGACCCCAAAGATGAAAAGGAGTCTGTCCAGTGAGTAAGGAGTGAACAGCATTCTAGGCAACGGGGCCAACAGGTACAAAGGCTCTGGGGTAGAAAAGGGCCTAATGCCTTTTCTGAGGAACTGAAAGAAGGCCATGTGGCTAAAAGGCTGTGCACCTGCTTGAGATAAGACTGGGCAGCAGGCAAGGGCTGACCAGCCTAGTGTGGAAGCCCCTGAAGGGTTCTGAGCAGGACAGGCACCAGACTGGACCACTCTGGCTACTTCTGGAGAATGGACTGGAGGGGCAAGAACAGAATTAGAGAGCAGTCAGAGGCTATTTGGGTGGTTTTGGTGACAGACGGTCACTGCCATGGTGGTGGATGTATCTGAGACAATTTCAAGGTAGTATTGATAGGACTTGGTGACTGGGATGTGGGGAGAGAGTGAAAGGGAGTGGACAAGGCTGTTTCTTTTGTTTCCGGCATGAGCTCCTGGGTAGATGGAAGTGTATAGAATCTACCTTTCAAAACATTCTGTGTTTCTGAAATATTTCACATGAGATCCCTACTTCCTCCTCTCAGAGCAACGACCTGGTCTTCGAGTCACTGTAATTACTTAGATCACTGTTCCTTCTCATTGGTTTCCCTTCCTCTCATCTTTGTCTACCTCAATCACCTGACACTGGATTATTTCCCTAATGCAACTCCATGCATACTATTGCCTTTTCCAGTATCTCCAATGGCTCCCTATCACCTTCTTAATTAAGTACAAGCTCCTCACCTTGGCTTTCAAGGCTCCACAACCTACCCTTCCAGTCTGATGTTCCACCATTTCTCTAGTTAAGTCCTGTTTTAGTCAAACTGGGGCTACCTACTGTTCCTTACGTGTCACCACACACTCCTACCTTAGTGCCTTTGCTCATGCTATTCCTGCTGCCTTAACATCTCAGCCTGTTGAAACCTTCTTCAACTTCCCAAGTTCACTAAAGGTCCAGTCTTGAAATCTCACAAAGCTTTGTAATGCTAATGGCACTCTGGTTTCTTCCTTTTACTGTGGCTATTCAAGTATTTATCTCATGCCCATTTCCTACCCCCACCCCAACCCCCCAGACAGACCAGATGCAATACCTTTGAGTGCATGGCCCTGTGACTCCCACTGCACCATGGCCTTTGCCCTTGCAGGGTCTCATCCATGGTGCTCAGCCCACAGTAGGTACATTTTGTTGTCTTTATTTGGAACAATTCATGTTATTAATTAGGCTAAGGAGTCATGAGACCCAAGTGCTATAGGGAAGATGTTTTCCAGTAGCGTTTGCCAGCACCAGGGCTCATAGCAAAATTCATCTTCCATCAAACTCCTTACGAGCACACACAAGACACAGACACACTCCTTTTAGTAGAGTCTTCTGGCTGGTCAAAAAACCCAAGGCAGCAGTCCTCATATGCTTACCTTCATATTAAAAATTACAGCCTCTAAGTCAGGATTTTTCAAACTACTTATAACCCATTAATGGGTCACAAAATCAATTTAGTGGGTTATAGTGTTAAAAATAAAGTGGAAAATAGCTAAACACACAGTCTATAGTAAGGATAAGTAATGTTTCCTGACACTTTGGTTTCAAATGCATATACACACGTGTGTACTGTGTCATGATGTCTACCTTATTCCATAAGAATTTATTGGGCCTTTTCCATGTAAAACATATTTCTTACCATGGATGCCAGTCAAAAAGGATGAAAAAACTAGTGCTTTAATGCTCTGCAGCACATCTCAAGATCAGCAAACAGAACTCAAGTAGGGAAAGCAAGATGTTAAAGAAGCAGTAATGAGACTATTTAATTAAGTTATCCACACTTTAAAATGTGGCCAATACACCTCGCTCTTCCCTTGCAGTGACTGCATTTAGGTACTTTCAATCCAAAGAATAATCTTGAATTGGTAGAAAGTCAATCAGAGGTCATTTTGGACTACAGGCCCTCTTGGTACCTCTGGCAAGGATTACCCCAAGAGAGCTGAGTTCCAGAACCAGGAACTCCATTGCTGAAAGGCTACTGGTTTCTAGGTTATAATATACAGAAGTGATTATGTTTGTAAGGGAAACGTATTTACAGCAAGAATGTACTCTTTCGTCCATGCACATGTCAAGTTTATCAATTTATGTTTGCATGTATGTATTTAACCCATACCTAGAAAATACAATCCTATGTATCCACAAGGAAGAAGAACTATGCCTGATACGAGGTCAAAGCCCCAAGTTGACCTAAAGATGAGAAATACCAAGTTACTGAAGGCAGTGGCACATGTGAGATAGAAAGGAGGGAGATGGGCAATGACAGAATGGGTAAGGGTGCTCAGGAGTGTGGTAGATGTTTTATAAGTAAGTGTTCATTACTTTGATGATTGGTGGTGGTGAGAGTAGGGGTTAGGACATGGAGAGAACTATTTCCTAGTCAGTTGTTATGTCCTACCACAGTACCTAGCTGTAGCCCAGCAGTACACAGGAGTATTTGATTATGTTAACACAGAAAGGACAGGTTCCACATACTAATTCTAGCCCCGGCTCCATTTAACATATTGCCCCTTATAATTTGTTGCTACTTGTGTTATATTCTCAATTCACAGTTGAGAAATCAGCAGTGAGTATCCTAACTAATGAATGTAAACACTCGTAATTGCCAATTACAATCCCAACAAATAAGTGGGTCAGAAACAAGGTTGAAGGAGTAGGAAGTTCAAAGCTGCTGTGGTGCAAAGAACCTTAGATTGGGGTGCTGATAAATCTGGGTTAGATCTGGGTGATGTTGAACAATTCACACAACCTAAAGTTCTTTCCACCTCTAAAATTTTACAGTTCTACCAGCGAAGGAAAAGGTGACCTTTATCTGTTAGAAGGAAGACATCTTGGTTTGAAACTTAATAGGCAAACAACAATGAGAATAGCTAGAGTTGTTTAAACATGAATTAATGCCTCTCCCATTATTTAGATCCCGTTAGCACCCTTAGGTGATATTGCATGTCAATTTTTCTACTGATTGCTGGATAAATTCCAAATTTCTTCCTGGCGTTTAAAGTGTTCCACATCTCCCCAACCTCATCTCAAACTTCCTATGTTCAGATTTCCAATTCTGTGCTCTTGTCCTGGTCCCGTTTGCTTAACTCTTCCCCACCTCTACTCTCCTAGCTCAAGTCCCATAACCTTCATAAAGCTTTCCAACTACTCAAATATTTATCTATCAGATCTTGACCTTTAAATTCCTACAGGACTTTATAGCAGTCTTTTTAAGGGGGCTGGGTGTCTATCCTGTTTCCCAAGTCCACTATTATTTTGATATTCCAGAGTAAATGACAGGTGGGTGGTCAAGGAAATAAAAAAGTGGTATGGTATAAGAAGAAAATATTAGAAATGGAATAGAAAGAGAACAAGGTGTAAATAAGATGGCAATGCACAATACGGAGCCTTCGAATATGTAAATCTGGAATACGGGGCTGAGCCGGCCCGCAGGGCTAATACCTAAGTGAGGGGGCCTAAAGCTACGGATGAGCGCGCATGTGTGAGGGTTGATACTAATAGACAGCAGTACACACGGACAGAGAGTAGAACTCAAGAGTGAGACAAATAAGGACAGGTCGCGAGGGCACGGGGTAGACCGTGGCATGATGAGAGCGTGGTGGCGCCAAATGCGGGGCCAGAAGGGACAGCAGGGGGTCAAAGAGAAAGGTGAAGAGGTTCAGAGGACACAGCGCCCCCAGACTCGAGACAAAACTTGTCTTCCTCTCAATAGAGGGTTGGTTATGTTTCAGGATTCACATCCGTCCCCCACAAAACGGTCCCCAGCGGCTCCGGGAAGAGGGGGAAGTGATGTCCCCACTCCTCGGGGACTCCGCGAGGAGGTGGAGAGAGACAGGGGTGTCCTTACCCAGGAAGATGGAGATGATGAGCCGCAGCGCCTGTTCCGACGCGCCGAGGGACGCCGCCAACTTGTTAAGGCTCAGGTCCTCGAAACCCCACCGCAGCACCTTCGTCAGCTCCGCCACCGTCCCCAAGTCCCCCTCAGCTTCGGACGCCATCTTAGCTCCGGGCGTCCCCCAGGGACCCCGCAGCTCCGCGCGCCCCGAATGTGGGCACAACGCTGTGGCTTCACCCCCAATTCCGGCCGGGAGACCGCCCACAGAGTGCGCATTGGCTGCGGGCCCGCCCAGTGTCTCCAGGCTCCCCCGACTATTGGTTGGTCCGGGCAGAGGGCGGGGCCTAACGCGGCAAGGTAAGACAGAGGGAGGGCCTGAATGTTTGTAAGGCAAAGGTGACTCCCTCGGAGCAGGGACGCTGGGCAGCCGGGGTGGGGCGGGGCTTGGAATTGAGAACCAGATCTGCGATTGGAAGAGTTAAAGCCGGTGGCAGGTGGTTGTGCAACCCGGTTCTAACTGTTTAGGGGCGGAGTCTCCGGGGGGAGAGTGTCCACCGGTTCGTGCGCTGCCTTTCTATTGGCTGAGGCGGGAGCAGGCGAGAGTCGGGGCGGGAGGGGCTCGTTCCCCCACCGCGAGGTTACTGTCGGTCGCTGGCGCGCCGGGGTTACTGGGGCATGTAACCGAGAGGCGGGAATTCCTGCTGCAGTCTTGCGAGCGCCTCCCAACGGTGCCTCCGGCCTTTCTCCAAGCGTCATACTCACTCCGCCTTGGCTCCCAATGGGTCTCGGGGGAGCCTAGCGCCCCTGAACGCTACTTCCTGTTCCTTTACTTCATGCATCCTTTTTCAGGCAGTTGCCTATGTTAAAACGTTCCGTTCGGCGAGAGGCGATGAAATGAAGATGCGCCGATGTAATCTTTGTTACTTTCATTAAAAAATTAAGCTGTCACTGAGTATTAGAGGTTCATGTTAAAAATTCTAACAGTATAGATACACAAAAGTCCTTTCTGCCCACCTTGCTTCCCATTCTTACTTCCTACAGGTGACCACTGTTCAGATCACACTGACAAAAATGCCTGTGCTGGGGACCGTGCTGGGCTCCGGAGAGTATAATGGTGAGCCCAAGGCTGTGGAGTGGGGATGATGCCCAGTGACACGGTAGCATTAATGCAGGTATAATTGCACGTGCTCTGCAGAAAAGGGACAGCGTTCTATTAGAGTGTGTAACAAAGAAACACTGAGAGTTTCTTGTAATAACTGCGAGCATACCTGTACAATTACAGCTTATATACTTCTATAGCATTTTTTAAAGGACTTATAGCCGTATTACTTCACTTAATTTGGCTATGAAACTTGATGTTTATTATTATGATGTCTTCTTATTGACACAGAGTCTTGGAGAAATTAAGAAACTTAGGTGTCTTTCCCAGTAAGTAGTGGAGATAGAATTTAAATCTAAGTCTGTTAAATATCATCTCACCTCCCCCTTTGGGTGGACAAAAATTAAAAAAATATGCAGTATTCAGAAAAGTAGAGATAATATGACTTCCCCCAGATTAAGAAACAAAGATCCCGTGTACACTTGAAGAGCTTGGTATCCCTTCCCCAGGGCATTTCCCTTCTTCCCTTCTCTGAGGTCACCACTTTGCTGACTTTGCTATCTATCAAATCTTGTGCTCGTTTTTATCTTTACATACTGTTTATATCCATGAAACAATATATAGTTTTGCATGCTTAAAATTTTGTATTAATGGTATTACAAAAACTATCATTTTGCAGCTTGTTTTTACACTTATCATCTTTACTGAGATGTATTCATGTTTTTACACATAGCTCTAAAACTTTCATTTTAATTGTCATGTAACATTCCATTGTGTGATTATGCCATCATTTTTCATGTTCATGCTGAGGAATACTTGGATCATTTCCTGTTTATTGGTGTATTTATTTTATTACAAATATTGCTACAGTGGACATTTTCCTTTAAGCAAGAATGACAGTTTCTTTAGGGTTGTGACTCCAAACATTTTTTTTTAATGAACTGGACTCAACTGTAAGAAATACATTGCTATCCAGTATGTACACCTTTTCATACCCTAGACAACAAATACGTATACTATTTACACAGATGTACAGACAAAACATCCTGCCATACTATGTGTATGTTCTCTGATAATTTCTATTCTATTTAAATTAAATTAAATTCTCTGATAATTTCTATTCTATTTAAATTAAATTAAATTAAATTAAATTAAATTAAATTAAATTAAATTAAATTAAAACTATTGCTGATCAGGGTCCACTAACCTGATATCACTACTTACCAGTAGTTCATCATCCTCAATTTTGAAACTATAGGTTTATAACCAGGAGGGGGATTCTGGGTTGTAATGTAAGCAACTTTAGTAGAGTTTGTCTAATTGAAGTTGTTTGGGTAGATGTTAAGACCCTTAAAATCTCTGATTTGCTGAATAAGTATAATATATTTGTTCAAACATCTAGTCAGCCTAGACCCTGTTTAAAAATACTGAAAGTCAGTTTCTCTTTGTGTTATACAATTAGATAACATGTTTGTCCCTTCTCGTACTTCTGGTGTTCTGAGAGAAAGGCGGGCATGGGACAGAAGCTGGGTCTCTGTTGACACAACAGGTGCCTGTTTGCCTTGCTCCTCAGGTGTTTGGTCAGTCACGTTCCCTTCATTCTTCCTATGCAGCACCTCCGTCTCTGGTTACCTAGCTGGTGAGTGAGAGAAGAGAAGATTAAGATAATATGTTCTCTTTATAATTAAATACATTCACTGAGGGCTTATAAATTGGATTCTGTGCTGGACCCTCAAAACAAAGATGAATACAAGATGGCCCCTGCCTTCAAGAAGCTCTGTGTCTAGTGGAAAGAGAGACATGAAGACATTGTTATAAATCGAAGTGGAAGTATTTGTATAGAAATAAGCATAACATATCGGTGAAACCTCTCTTCTCTGATTGCTGCTTTTCCCTGTCTTTCCTTCCCTCTTCAGCAATCTCAAGATCTCTTTCTACTTCTTCCTTCCTTCCTTCTTTTCTCCTGGCTCCTTGCTGCCTGTCTATTACCGTCTGCAGGGCTTCCTGTCCTAGAATACCCTGGTTTTCTCTGAAGTTACTGCCCTCTTTTTCTTTTCCCTCTGTACCATACTTGTGGAAAAACAAGTTTTTTCTCACTTTCTCATAATGGCAGAGATGTGTGTCACTCACTATCTGTGCTTGGGCTTACAACTTCTCAACTTCCTTCCCTGCAGGAAGGCTGAGACCATGTGATTAGCTATGGCCAATGGACTACAGGCAAAAATTAAGGGTAACTTCCTGGCCAAGGTGACTCCCAAATTTCTGTCTTCCCTCTATAATAACCTTGCGTGTAGGCATTCAGTTAGTCCTCTGATCTTGGCTGTTTGTCAGCTACCTCCTCTCTGCTGTAGCATCACTAGTCCTCCATCTCCCAAAAGTGTGTTTAAATGTGTCATCTGCTGGCATTTCTTCTTCCATTTGCTTCATTCCTATAGATTTATATCTTCCCCACTCTACCCTTCACTATTATTTTAGTGGGATCTCTGGCAAGTCTATCTGCCATTTTATTAGAAGTCTCCCTCTTTGTTTTAAAAATATTTTCCTAAATTGTCTGCTTTAAAAAGTACTTTTGGATAATGTATTTTTCTCTATATTTTTAAAGAACATGCTTAAGTGTCTGTATTAGTCTGGGTTCTGCAGAGAAATAGAACCAGTAGGATACAGGAGGTCATCTATCTATGTATCGATCTATCTATCTATCTATCTATCTATCTATCTATCTATCTATCTATCTATCTATCTATCTATCTATCTAACTATCATCTATCTATCCCAGAAAGGGGTTGTGGTGTTGTAGCTCTCATTCCAGTGGTGCCTGGATATTGTGTAACCATCTGTAAATCAGGTCCAAGTCTTCTTTTCCTCTGTCAAACTGACTATAAGGAACTCCCAGGAGGGCAGAGGTGCAACTTGGGAGTGAGAAGGCAGTGTAGCAGGAATGAGAACATGGCATTTGGGCCACTTCTTCATGTACCTTACCTATATCTTTGGGGCCTGCTTGGACCCAATGACATATATATCACTTCCATTTGATGACAGAGTGTTTCTGTGCATGCCTAGCATTATGGCTTGGTGGGTCATATGACACTGAGTCATAATGGGCAGCTCAGGTCATATGTTAACTTGGTGGCCCATGTTGAGTGTTCAGTCTCTAATAAGGCCCATTAACAGGCCAAGAACTGCTTTTCAAAAGGACAGTAGTTATCCATGGAGGACGGCAGGGCCTTGTCCAAAATCCTAAGGCCCTGCATTGTGATTTGCCTACAGGGGCCTGCTAAAAGTTCCAAGCAACACTTCTATCTGCCAGCAACACTGTAAACAGCATTGGATCTCCTGGACCACGTGGTCCGTGGGGCAGAGCAGTGTGCACAGATGCTTGGACTAGTTGCAGAGTCTTCTCTTGTTCTGGCCTCTGCTCAAAACCAGCAGCTTTTTGGGTCACCTGGTAAATGGGTTGGAGTAACACACCACATGAAGAATATGTTACCTACAAAATCCAAAGAGACTCACTAGATGTTGTGCCTTTTTTTTGATTAGAGGAGTAGCCAAACACAGTAACTTATCTCACCTTGGAAGGGATATCTCAAGATGCTTCACACCACTGGACCCCTAAAAATTTCACTGAGGTAAATGGCTTCTGAATTTTTGTTAGATTTCCCACTCTCTGATTTGCAAATAGCTTACCAATAAATCTATAATAGTTGCTGATGATTGCTTAGTAGGTTCAGTGAGCATCATGCCATCAATGTAATGGACACGTGTGATATCTTGTGGAAAGGAAAGGCAATCAAGATCCTTGAGAACTAAAAAAAAAAAAAAAATTCCTGAGAATTAAATTTTCATAAGGGCTGGAAAGCTGATAAACTTCTGAAGTAGGAGAGTGAGGGTGTATTGCTGCTCTTGCCAAATGAAAGCAAACTGCTTCTGGCGATATTTACCAACAAGTTTTGAGAAAAAAACATGTACTAGGTCAATAGCTGCCTAGTAGGTACCAGGGTGTGAGATAATAGAAAATATATATCTTGGTCTTTGCCCCTGGTTTCTGGCACAGAGCCTTTGAAACCCTTGTAATTTCCTAAGAGATAAGAATCCTAGGAACATCTTTTGTTCTAGTATTGGTCTTTGACCTCTGTTCTGACAGGGGTCTTGAAATTCTTGTA